AAGTTTAACATCATTAGAAATGTTTCCAATAAGCTTCCAAATTCAAATTGAAAGGAGGACGGTCCAAAAGCACATGCTTAGAGACCAGATACTGGAATGGGTGGGACTGACTCTAAGCAATACAGAAGTATGTTCAGCATCTTCACTGAAATTCATTATGAGTATGATGGGTGTAAATTAAGAACACCAGATTAGTGCACTTATTACAAGAGTTAAATTAATGACTACTTGCAAAACTATTTTTTACAAACCAAGTAAGCAACATTTGGAAACTTTTAAGGATTTCAAATAGAAACCAAGCTTGTAGCACTTTCTGAGTGTGACAGTATGCAGGAATCCAAATTACCTTCAGTCTCTACCTGGAGATGGAAAATGATGGAAACCTTATACCTCTGTTGAACAGTTAAAGCTGCTTTCATGGAAAATGAAAAATGTGCCTTCTCACAATATTATTATTGTGTGCCTCAGATTTCCAACAAGAATTTATCTAGAAACTGTAATTTGTAATATTGTCTTTGGTATAATCCCACCAGCACTCAGCAAATTCCTCTCATATCTGCTTAGTAAAATAGAAAAAAAAAAAACCCTTCTTAAATTAATATTCTGGGGAAATCCAGAAATGTTGGAAAAAGTCTGCTCCTGGAATTAGTATCCAATTCATATCAACAGTGGGTTTTAAATTGGAATAAAATCATCCCCATTGTGCAATAAAGGAAGCCAGTAGGGCTTTCAGGGCTAATGATGATACATCATTGCATATTGCAAACAGATACTGGAGCCTTTTTATCTCTGTCAATAAATCCTTCAGGAGAACTTTGGAATAGCAGGAACCTTGATAATGGCCTTTTATAAAAGAAGCTACAGCAAACCCTTCAGCACAGAGCATTGTAATGCACTGAGGACACGTGAGGAACAGTTCTCCATCTGTCACTGCCCTTTCCAGAGAGGAAAAGAGGACAAAAGAAGGGAGGTGGAGGGGGAAAGGAATCTGGGAAAATTTATTGCTGGTCCAGGCTCTGTTCTAGCACTGTAAAGTGGTGGTTCATGTATCCCCAAGAAGTACATGTAGGATTAGGATGAAAAGCCTAAACTATGCCCTGGCATTAAGCTCAGAGCAGTGAAACAGCCCCTGAGCTGCACTTTGCAGCCTGTCCTCACCAGCAATGTCAGCAATCAGCACCAGCAAGACTGGCTCCCATGGCAAGGAACACAATGCCACAGGAACCCTGCCAGATGGGAGGACCATTTCCAGTGCCTGCCAACAGCTGATATCCCAGAGGAGACACTAAACATGACTCCAGGCTCTGCTAGATTAAAAACTGAGTCTGAGCAATGCCAACCCTTATCTCCCATCTTCTAGAACACCAGGCACAGCTGCAACAAGTTCTCAAACCACTCAGATGTTGTCCCCATTTTGCTGACACTGCTTTGTTAGCACAGAAGGTGTTTGTGCCCCGTGCCCAGGAGTGCTGAGCAGGCACTGCCCTGTCCCTGTCCCTGTCCCTGCCATGGCCCTGCCAGCTGTGTCACCGCGGCCAGGGGACACAGGGGACACAGTAACCCAGGCAGTGTTAGCAACAAACACACCTGGCAGCCACCAACTCTTGGCAGGGCCCCAGAGCTGCTGTCACCCCCCTGGTGGCACCAGGCTCTGTGGCAATCCCTGTGCACAGAATGCCAGCCCTGCACTGCTGACCCATGGGCAGGACACATCTCACACTGCTGAGGTTAAACACTTCTAATTAATCTCTCAGAACCATCAGTGCATCAGTAGCAGGATGGAACCTGAAAATCCTACCAGAATGGGGTGCAATAACTGGTAAACCTGGTATTTCCAGCCTGCAGTCAAAACAAACAGGAGAATGAAATCACAGATCTTTTTTCTTTTTTTTGCTCCTTGTTTTTGTTTTGAAAGCAGCAGTCAAAAGGCCTCTTGAAGCCTTGTTTATAAGCAAACCAGTCTCGAAGGATGGATTTGCATTGGCAGGATTTTCAGCCTGCAAAATAAACCTTTCTAGGTAGTGTTTTCCTTCTGCCTGTGAGGGAGGAATGGTTTCTAGTGCATTTCTCCCAGTCCACATCTCTTTCCAGCTCCACTGAAGAAAATGCCCAATTCAACACAGCTGGCCTGCCCAAGGCTCCCTGGGAGCTGCTGCACTCTGGGCATGCACCTGCAGCCCTTGCTTTGGGGAGGAATGAATGGGAACACACACTGCCAGCCCATTGCCAGGGGGAATCACTGCTGCCATTCAGAGGCACGGCAGTGCACAGAAGCTGTTACTCACTTGCCATTTCTTTGGCAGAAATCACTCCATTTTGGGGGATACTTTACCTTCTAGCTTAGGGGCTACTATAAAATGCCTTTGAAAAGTGCAAGTGCACTTTAATCAACACTCAGGTTCCAAATTGAAGGCCAAGTTACACTTTGAAAAAAATTCCATGATCAAGTGATGATCACGGTGTCACAGAATGGTTTGGGCTGGGAGGGATCCTAAAGATGATTTCTTCCAAACCCTCTGTCATGGGTAGGGACACCTTCCCATAGAACTCCCAGAAAAGTGATTTTCAATTACCTATAATTTTTTCCCAATGTCCTGTGTTGTCCATTCTCCTGGGAGCTTTGTGCTCCTGATGTTTTGCATCTATCAGTGTTTAAGTGAACTGGACCACCAGCTGTGCTCAACTTTTACCCCACCCATAACTGCCTATCCTAACAAAGAGTCTCTGATAAGAAAACTGTCCTTTGGCTTCTGAAAATTGTTATTAAAATAGGAAAGCCAGAAAAGCTAAAAACTAAAATTTCAATTAAGATGATAGTGACTTCCCATGCTTTTAAAATCCTAATCCTTTTTACCACTTCTGCTGAACAAAGCAAGAAGTATTTGCTACAATTTATGCACTTCTTTAAGGTTCTTAATTCTTTGCATTTCAGCCAAGCTTCATGTACCACAAAGAAAGGACATTTGTTAATTAAGGCTTGGGATCTTAATTTGCAAGAAAGATTTCAAAGACACGATGAAATTAACGTGAACTCCTTGTAAAACACATGCCTAAAATTTCCTCTGGTAGATGCAGACATTTGGGAAAAAAAAAGTTGCCTTTTTGTACTAGCTAAGTTCAAAGCCACTTCTTTCAGTGCTTCCTCCTGGGTGGAGCACACATCCTCCCAGGAGCTGCTGCCAACGCTGTCACTGCTCCCTCGTTTTCTGATCATAAATCTGTTGTGAAGATAATGTGGTGAAAAGACAATGAAGTGACTCTGCTGCATTGACCTGGCCACTGCACTGACCACTCACCTCAAGATGCAATTTGCAATCCCACCTGATGCACTCTCTAGGGACTCCTGAGCTTTCACAAGAATAAAGCTTTGAAGGTTCTCCAGCTCCCTTCTCAAAAGAATTTACAGACTTATGTACCATCCACTCTATGACAGTTCAATACCTGACACTGCACATTAAGGAAAATGTCACAATCCTCAGACTTGAAGGGCCACAATCAACACCCAAGACATGTGGGATATGTGGGAAATGTGGGGACTGTCCAAGGAATCAATAGAATCACACTGACTTAGCAGAGAGAAATGACAATCTTCACTTTGCTTTCAATGCTGGAGATAAAATGCAGTGGAGAAAAGGAAATCACACAGAGCAGAAGATGCACTCAGAGGTGCTGCCTGGAGTTCTGCAGAGTCCTGTCCTGCAGCACTCACTGCTGAGGAGCTGCTCATCACCTCAGAACAATACAGACAACAGGTTTATCTTTGTGCAAATCTGTGCAGGTCACTTTGATCTGTTTCAAACAACTGCCTCTATTCTTGTCTGTTCCTGATGTTTATTTTTCACTTTCAGCCTCCTACTGATGTGTCACTAGCAGCACCTGACAGCTCCAATGCTCTCATTCACCCCTGCATGCTGCCTGGGCACTTTTTCCATTCACTTTTTCCCTACACCCTCCTGCAGCAGACTCAAAAGTCTCTTACCAAGCCTGAGGCTCACTGAGCATTGACTGCTCGAGGCTCAATTGCTGTGCAAAACCCAGGCAAACACCAAGTGTTAAATATCAGCCACCAGCACCAACACTTTCCTCCCCACCTGCCCTGCCAAGGATGTTATTTTCAAATTTTCTAAAAAAGAGCTAATTGATGTATTTTCCTACCCATTCAACTTCACAAGCAGTGATCCTGTGACTTGCATAATTCCAATTGGCTGGAAGCTCCCATAAAGGCATTTTCACAGAGATTAAAAACTAAACCTGAAAGTGTTTACAGCCAAACTTGGGGCTGTAATGCTCAGCTCATGTGATGGCACCAAAAAGCTTTAACTGACTATAATGTTAGAACAAATACACGAGGAACCAGCAACCTATCAATCCAAACACATCAAAGCACTGCTATCTGAAAAGGAGGCCTGAAATCACTCAAGCCACAGGGAAAACATAAGGAAACTATTAGTCATAGGCAGAAATACGAATTTTGTGATAGTTCTGTGATAAATGATAAATATTCATTTAGTATACAAAATATTCAGTGCATTGGCTTTAAGCATCACAGTTTTAATGAAATCTACTGAACAAATTCCAGGTCCTGCCAGTGTTAAACAGGAAACTCATCATATGCTGCATGCTGTTTCTAATTCCTATCCAATGAGTTTTACACCACGTACATGATTAGGGCAGGAAGAAATCTGAATTTTTTACAACATAACACCAAAAAATGGATCAGGATCAAGCCACCATATTTTTCCCCAAGAAGGGAGTTGGATTAATCTTCAATAATTTACCACCATTCCTACACTCATAATTACATTTTTTCTTTTTCTCCTGAAGCTGTTAAACTATGAAGACATCAACTTAAACTTGAATATGAACAGTCACCACAAGCCCCTTGTTTATTCACTGAAAGGTCAGTACCAGACACCAGTCTTACCTTACCTGTTACAAGAAGAATATTCCTGGTTCATTCTCAGTGACACTGAGAGGAAGGCAGGAACTGCTGTACTTACTTGTTAAAAAGATTCAGCCCAATCCTATAATGGCGTTTCCTGATAACATCGTTACTGAAGGCAGGGGAATCCCAGCTGTTGCGAGTCTCTTTGTGGTAGGTTTGTTTGCTCAAGGTTTGCTCCCTTAGGCTGTCCCTAGAAGAGGATTCTGAGCTGCAATTTATTGTATCATTGGAATTGGAAGTGCTGTTGATGCTGTCGTTGTCTCCATCAGAGTAATCAGACTCTGATTTGCTTTGCCTGTTTGCTGTGCCATTGATGGCCAAGTGACTGTCTATGGGCCTAGCCCTGTGCCTGGCCTCCTGCTCCTCCCGGGTGATGATCTTGGCAGGAATGCTGTGAGGGATATGTTTAGGGCTGCCTTGCTGGCTGGGGATGCCTCGGTCGTACGCATTCTGTCTCTTTAATGAGCCCCTCTCCGAGCGATCGCTCAAGTCCACGGAACTGTCACTGGGCGGCTCGATGGTGAGCAGGGGCAGGTGATCCATCCTCATCCTCTGCTCCTGGCATTCCAGTGATGGGGTACTCCTGCAGCTCGTATCAGTGTCTAACTTATCGTCTTTGTGGGTCATGGACCAGTACTCTTGGGAAGAGTTGACGGAGCGGAGCCTCAAGTCCGACTCCGTGCTGGACGGCCTGTCCACGGACTGGGAGAGCGGCAGGGGCGGGGACAGCTCCTCCTCGTCGATGTACAACGTGACATCGCTGTAGGACGCCGTCATCTCGTCCAGCTTCCTGTGATCCACGTTGTGCATCGCCGCTTTGCTCGGGGCGCAGCTCTCCCTCTCCATCTCCCGGCTCCTGACCTGCTCTGCGCTCTGGATTTCATCCGAATGCAGACTGCGGCAGTTCAGCGCGTCGTCGATGGATTCCGCCAGGGATTTCACCTGCCTGGAAAAAGCATCCTCCAGTTCTGTTATGGCATCAGTGAAATCAGTGGACGCCGCCGGGGACTTCATGGTAGCCGTGTCCCCGAGCTCATTGCACTCCGACGGTACCAGGGAGCCCAGCTTTGACCCATCATTTGTAACAGAAACTTGCTTCCCCTCGAAGTAGGAGCTGTGGACTTTCTCAGGTCCTTCAAAGGAAAACTGCATTCTCATATTGGACAGGACGATGCGCCTTGACATGCGGTTCTCGGACATAGAACTGCGCAGGCGCTCGAAGTTCTTGTTCATCTGATACTGGCGGAAGGCGGTCTGGATGGTGCGGGCAGCATGTCTGGTGATCAGACGGCCCCCATACTTCCGTTCTAGCATCTCCACCTGCCAGGGAACACACGCAGCCCTCGTCACTTTGTGCCGCTCGGGACAAGGGGAAAGTCTCACAAAAACGTTTAACTCTCGTAACCTCTTTAATATACTTTATATGTATTGATTTTGAAAGTACAACCTCAAAACTCCAATGATGAACTGAATAGTCATCTGCAAATTCCACCATAAAATACAGAAGTATATTAATTCACCTCACAGATATAAGAGAATATCAGTTGCAATAAGTTCTTCCTTTCTGCAACAACAAAAACACCTGGGTTTCAAAATGACTCATTTTCTTAGAAAAATGTTTTTCATGATTACATTCTAGTACACTCCTGGAGCATACAATCTCAGTTCCAAGAACTGTTTTTATTTTTAACAGTATTAACTGCTAAAACTACTAAATCTTAATTAAACTGTTAATATCTTTTACACTTTTCTCTAGGAGGGAGACAAAGAATACACATTTCTCAAGCAGGGGACAAAGAATAACAGAGTTAAAAGTCCCAAGTGAAGTGATGCTAGAAAAGACTTCTCCCAATTCACAGACCCAAACGAGGTACCAGAGCTCAAATACCTGCTTATCCTGTAGGTCTGAAGAGAGTTCATAGCTCTCGGAAAGCGATCGGGACCGTTTGATGGCCTCCTCCTCGGCCTGTTTGCGCAGGATGGAGGTGGAGTGCTGCAGCTTGGGCCGGCGGGCTCGCTGCTGGCCCGGCGCGATGGAGTAGAGCCCGTAGGGGTGCTCGTAGTGCTCGGGGCTCAGGGCGGAGCTGTGCGTTATAGGGCCCTGCGGGTAGCCGGACGGGCTATCCAGGGACGTGCCGGTCTCGCTGCTGGGAGCCTCCCCCTCAACGCTGCACAACAAAAGAGAGACAGCAAAAGCCTCGGGTGAGCCCAGCACACCGAAATTCTCCCCAGCAAACAGCACGGTTCTGCTTTAGTTTCATTTTGGGTAGGCATCCAGCAAGTTTTGCTGTTCGCATGCAGGTGTTACAAGTAATGTGGCTTTCATGACAAGCACCTCAGTTTTTGCTGCAGTTTTTGCTGTACTTTTTGCAAGTCTCAATCTGTCAAGCCTGTGACATCTTTAGAGCATGAGTCAAATAGGGGAATGGAGGTTTCAAGCATTATTTAACTTTATACACTAATTACTAATAACATCCTGAGTAAGTCACTCAGGAGCTACTCTGTAAAATGCATGAAGACTTCTAATTTCTTATAAGACTGCTTATTTCCAAGCTTCTCCATTCAAAATGACAGATGCTTATTTATGTCTTTCTTTGCTTTGACCAATTAAAGCAATATTTTCTTACCCATATATTACAATTTGACATAAAAGGATTACTTTCATGGAGATAGGGATTTAATGGATCTTGAGAGCTATGATGTTTCTAAAAACCAAAGTACTTCCAACTCCAATGATACAATAATCTCATTTATTTCCCTGCTAGTGAAAGACTGCTCCCATGGGATACTTTTGGTAGGTTTTGGAGTAAAAGCATCCCAAGGGATGGTGTTTCTAGCTAATGAAAGCAACATGGTTTCAGATGAAGAAAGCTCAATAGCACCCATCTAGCAAAGAGACTACTTTGTTTTCACACTAACGCTGTTATTGCTAAGGAATAAAGGAAAGGAAAAACACCTTTTCTATTCAAAGGGTTGCACACAATAGGAAACATTGTAAAACCAAGCCCTAGGTGTATTCTGAAGTACTGATGACTAACAGCAATTTGTATTTGGGTTGTATTTGCAGGAGGACACGCTCACATTGCAATACATGCACTTTCACTCTCCATCTTTTAATGTTTCACAGCACTACTCACTGTCTGTCTCATCCAGTGTACACAGAGCATTGACAGAAAAACGATTTATTTTTTTTTTAATTCCTGAAAAGACTCAGCAAACACTTCACACATGCACCAATACAAGCAGCTCTTCCCCTACCTTTTGTTTTAGGAACGGTACATCCAAACTCCAAAGAAGTAAAACTCCACATTCCCACCACACCCTGTATTTTTTTCCTTCGTTCATCTGTACTTAAAAACCAAAGCCCTCCTGTTGTCTCTCAGCTGTCCCTTCAAAAACTACAGAGCAATTTCTGAAAGAATGTTCTCCACTCACTGAAGAGCTGAGGGTTAACCCCGGCCAAACTCTCCCAGCTTGAACAGTTTGTACTTTTTAAAGGGAAGGAGAACTAAAAAAGCCCCTTAGATTTCTTAAAATGCTTCTATAAACATGTAAAACTGAAAGCAAGTCCTCTCTCTTTGCCCATCAAAATATGACTCCAACCAAAAGGTATTTTCAAACATACTTAACCCAAGCTGGAAATATTTGCAGTGTGCACACATTGCTTTTTCCAAAAAGGAAGCTGACAGGAAACTAATCCCTTTCCCTCCGTGATACAGCTGGCTTTCAACTTAAAAATGATAAACTATCCAGAGTTCTGCCGGTGACATTGAAACTGTGTAACACCCGCTAAAAACAAACAGGTCATTTTCTCTGAAGCATCCATTAAAGACAAGGGATGATACTGAGCTGCTCCACGTTCTCTTTTAAACACTGACATTCCTTCCTCTGTTCTGCCAGCTGTGAGCTGTGCTATTTTGGACATCACATCCTAGCTGCCAGTTTATTTGTAAGTACTTTCCATACAAGCATGGCAAATTTGTTTTTAACAGGAAGGCTGGAATTATCTTCTTCAGTTCTGTTGACGTTTTCTGCCTTCCTCACCCTCGCATTGTGAACTATTTAATATCCTTTCCATGCTGATTATAACCTCCTGCTGACATTTTAATAACGCTACCTTCGATGGATCCCTTAACCTTTTCCTCAACAAAAAGGGCACTGCCCTAATCACAAGAAGTTGGAAGGATATCTGCCCAGAGTTCTGACTAAAGTGAAGGGTTCCTTCTTAATTTTTAGTTTGCCTTTTGTACTTTCTCAGGTATAAATGTGATGCTTGACTGACTGTAATGCTCAATCTCATTTGGCTCATGGGCCCATTCCCTGCCACCTGACCTTTGAAGCATGGAAGTAATTACATTTACAACAGGCACAACAAGAGCCCTTCCAAGCAAACACACGTGCACAGGCTTTAAGGCTTTCCCCCATTCAGCTCTTCCCGGCCTCCCAGGAGCAGCTGAAGCTCCATATGAATTATTTCATTAAAGTGAAACTTTACTGGCAAAGAAAAGCAGCTTGCTTTCTACTTTTTCTACTTTACATATGTTTGGAGAAGAAAAACATGTCAACAAATATGACTTGTGTGAAGCTGCAAGGATGGCAAGCTGGCTTGCTGCACTGAGGGAGCAGCACAGAGCCGGCAGCAGGGCCCGCTGAGCCAACTCCCAGCAGGCCTGGGTCACTGCAGGCTATCAAACACACAGCACCCATCTGTCACAAGGGTGCAAGGGCACTTTGGGGATCTCCAGATGTGCCAGCCTGACCTCAGTGCTGGGCAGCTCACAGAGCAGGACAACCTGGAGATCAGGTCTGGCCAGCCTGGGGCTGGGAAAGGCAGGTCCTGCCTGACCGACCTGCTCTCCTCCTGTGACAAGGTGACCTGCTTTGGTGGTGAGGACAGGCTGGATGTCACCTGCTGGGACCTCAGCAAAGCCTCTGGCACTGCTCCTCCCAGCCTTCTCCTGGAGAAACTGGCTGCTCTGCACAGCTGCTCTGTTCCCTGGCTGGGACAGTTTGAAATCCGTGTGGATGTGGCACCTGGGGACATGGGGCAGGGGTGGCCTTGGCACTGCTGGGGAATGGCTGGACTCAGTGGCTGGGAGGGCTTCTCCAACCCAACAATTCTGTAACACACACTCAGAACATGAGCCAGTCATTGCAGGGTTACAGGGCTGGCTTTTATCTGTGCACTTACTAAAACTGCCAACACACAAAAATGTCAAGGGCTCTGCTCCAGGCTTGCAGTGAGAAGCAGGAGAAGTCTCCCTGGACTGAGGGAGAAGCTGAGACAACTCTGCAGCCCTGCTTCACCTCCACACCCTGCACACACTGCCCCTCTCTGATGGGGGAGGCATTAGGTATATTAAGCACAGTACAAAAATGGACAATGTAATACTGTTAATTACTATTACTTATGCTTTTACTATATATACATGCATATATATTATATTAAAGAAATGTTAATTAAAATTCCTAACTGGAATTAGGAACTGCTTCTTAATAAAGGTCTCCAATTTGAGGCATCTGCCACCTACCAGATATGTCCAGTACAATTACTGATAATTTCATTGTTTTTTTAAAAAGATCTAGTGGATTAATTTGGTTTATCTCCCTGCAATGTGCAACTGCATATTACTAGTGAGCCCAGCAATCTGTTGAATATTCTAATTGTGTATTATTAGGAGAATGCAAAGCAGCTGAAATTAACCTATAAGTCCAACTGTTTTATTGCACTCCTGTTTCAGCAGAAAATAGACATTCATTATCTGCCAAGCCAGAAAAAGTGAAAGGTTGCTTGCAACCTTTACAAAGAAGCAGAGAATGGAACAGCTGAAGAATGAAAATGAAATATTTAAAAATAATTAGTATTATTAATATGACTTTGCATGAACAAAAATTTAAAATAGAGCCATTGAAAAACTTTATACAACTAAATAACTTTTTGAAACAGTTGCCAGCACTGACTGAACCAGCATTTTGTCAGAAACTGAAAATTTCTTCCTGCATAAGCCTCAGCTTATAATACTGTTAAAAAAATCCAGGCTGACAAAAAGGGGAGGAAAAGGTCCTGATTTTCCAGTCATTTCCCACAATTCAGGGATGAGTTGCTTTCAACTACCTAATAAGAAGAAGCTCTGTCTCCTCTCTCCCTCTCCAGTTGTGTGGTTAGCCATGACCAAAGCAAAACATTTCCTCTCCAGGCATTTTAGCAGCACCAGCCTGGCAGGTCTTTTCTTCCCTGGCCCTCATTTTACACTTTCAATTATTACTTCCAATCACAAAGGCTGTAATTAGCACCAGTACCTTAAATCCACTACCATATTTTAAAACAATAACATATTATTCAGGATGTTTGACTATCTACTGTCATTCTTTATTTTTCATTTTTATATTCACACCTTCCTTTGCCTTCAAATCTTGACAAACTATTAGCAAAGCAAAGGGAAAAAAAAGTACAATAAAGAAAAAACTTTGAAAATAAGAGAACTTCAACATTTGAGCTTAAAATGGAAACCTTAAAAAAGACCTGAATTAAAAAGACCTGAATTGCAGAAAGGAGCAAACCCCAAGCTTTTCCATGAGTATGGATGTATCTGTTCCACTGACTAATGGCCAAATGACCAGAGGAGCTGCTGGTTTGGATACAGAGGCACAAGAATTTATCTGCCAGAGAATTTATACTATGAAAGAGAGACATTTGATACCAGAAAAGCAGAAAGTCCCTTTCCTCCTGAGGCCCAGAACTTTAGAACTACGTGCCTATAAAAAGGAAGTGTATAACAATAACAGCACATGCCAGCAATGATTCAGTGCTGCCTCTCAGCCCAGAACCCCCCCCAGTTTACAAGCAGTCAAGTGTCCCTGTGCATTTTTAGAACTAAAATATGAAGATAATGGGAACATATGCTTACAGAAATCACCCAAATGTTCAAACTGGTTTGCTGCAGATTTAGTTTGGAACAAAGAAATGAAACATGTTT